AAAAATCGAAAAAAAACCAAAAAATCACAACAACTGCGGCTAGTTGAAAATCTAGTATGCATAGGTTGAAATAAAAATACAAACATACTCTCTAATAGCGAATTCCATAAACTATAAGTATGAAAAAACCCAAAAATCCCCAAAAAATCCAAAAATCCGCTAATTTTTGGTTAATTTTTGTCTTTTTTCGTTATTTTCCGTTAATTAACGGAAAATTAACGGAAATTAACCTCTATCCGTTATTAACGGATCCGGGTGGCCACCTCTAGTAAGCTGAAGGAAGAGTTTTAATGAGGGTTGTCAGCAGAAACATTGTCCATGTAACAACCACTCTTTCTTTTCAATGTATATATAACACAATTTGTGTGGATCACTGGGCATGTGGTGTGATGCACAGTCAGTGTTCCCCACTTACAGCAGGCCCTGCAGCCAAGCATGTGTCTACTCCCATATCACCACACTGGGACGGGGACGTCCCACCTCCCTGAGGGGGACAAATGTTACGCTCACTGGTCTGATGTGGGGGACGCCCTACTAATGGCCCTTTGATGTAGGGGATGCCCTGCCCAAGGTATGGTGGCGATACCCGAACCAGCTTATACGATAGGATACGATACTGGAGTAGGACGGGGTGGTCCCGCCTAGGTCCCCGTAAGGACCTAGGTGCCCGGCGAGGTGGGTCCGTGGCTCAAAGAGGGCAGGAGCCCCACACCAGGGATCCTCACGTATCAGTTTGCCATAGCACGGGGCCCTTCGCACCCACAAAATGACTTGGCCACAAGCTTGTAAGGCCAGGCATGCTATGTACACAAAAGAGCTGCCATCTCCTCTTGACGCACTCCAATCCACCGTTGTCCCACCTCTAGTGCCCTTTGCCGCCCTGTTGGGCCATTCACCGTTGGCGTACCCCAAGAGGGTGGCGGAGCGGCGACCCGCATGTCGCACATTAGTGTGGACCACTGTCACAAAAGAGAACAGTTCGGGCATTGTCGCAGAAGTGAACAACGTTGTGGCAATAACGAGCGACACTGTCGCAAAAAAGAACATGTCGAAAAAAAGAGCAATTTCACTGTCGCAAAAAAAAAATAGTGACCTTATGGGGGCGCCGCCAATTTAAATGGCAAAGCTCAAGTCGGATTTAACGCATGCCGCTCTTCTGGGCATATCCCTCCAACTCGACCGCGCCGCAACTGGAGTTTTCCGCGGCACAGCAGCGCACCTCAGTCCTGGCGCGCCTGAACCCATTCTTCCTCCCCAGCGTCGCGTGGCGTGCCACCGGTTTGCCGCGAGTCGTTGTTGCACTGCCGCCCTCCTTGGGGGCGAGGCCATTGGCGACCCATTCGGCCTAATTGGTCCCTCCCAGGGCCGCACCGCGGCAGACGGGTGTGGAAGGGAAGGGGAGACGCCCGTTTTGCGCGGCGTAGGCCGCCCGGGGGCGCATGTCCGGGGCGGATCACGGCGAGGGCGGAGAAGTAGAGGTGGAGGAGGGGGAGATCCCCGGAGAGTGCCGCAAGGATGAGGTTCGCAGGCGTGAATGTGTGGGATGGGCGGTGCGGGGGGAGAACGTACGGTCGCGCCTGAGAGGGGGGGCAGTTGGGCGCGGGGCAGTGAGGCGGGGCGTGTGTGGGCGCCCTTGTTGGTTCGGTTGTTCATTTTTTCGCGTTTTTGTTTGCGGTCCGCGGGATGCCGCCCAGTCGTATTGGTGACGCCGCGGAGCGCTTCTGCTCGCCGGCGCCTGTACGAGGCCGCCCGATCCGGCCCATAACTCCGCGGAGTCCGCGAGCCCTGCTCGCCCACGCTTCACACTCACCCCGCGGCGTGAAAAAGCGACGGCTGGGCTTTCCACTGCCGTTCCGTGTCCCCCGATACCGCACTCCCGCGGTCAAATACCGCCCTCCACCCCGTTGTCCAACCCTCAGCCAACGAGGCGAGTCCCCCCACTGCACCCCGCCCTCCCACACCCAAGAACTCCAAAACCGCTCTTCCCGCTCTTTTTCATCCCTAGCGTCCTTCCGAGCTGTTCCTTGTCGCGGCTGGTTGGCCAGGACGCCCGCCTTCCACGCGCCCGGGCGCCGGGGACCCCCCCCGACGGCCAGTTCAGGGCCCCCCGCGCCCCGCCACCCTCCAAGCAGGAGGGCGCGTCGTCCTCATCGCTGCGCGGCGGCTACGGCCGGCCGTGGCGGGGCGCCCCGCCCTACGGCGTGCGCAGCCCCTACGGAGTCTACACGGACCTCATCATGCCGTCCTACACAGAGGACGGCGCAGCAGAGCCGGGCTACGATGCGGGCGAGCCCGGAGAGAGGGACAGTCGCGGGGGCCGGGACAGGGACAGGGACAGGGACAGGGATCGCGATCGGGATGGCAAGAGGGATCGTGGACGGGAAAGGTCGGACGGGCGAGACAGGGATCGGAGGAAGGAGAGGGGCGAGTGGCCGCGGCGGTGGGAGATGGAGGGGGAGAGGAGCGGGGAGAGGGAGGAGGTCGCCGGCGGCGGTGGCAAGGAGGATGGGAGGGAGAGGGAGAGGGCGCTGGACGCAGTGCGGTCGCTGACGCGGCGCGTGGGCGTGCAAGACGCGATGAAGTGAGTGGCGGGCCGCCCGGGGTGCCCATTGATCGGGTTTGTTCGGCGGTTGAGGGGGAGGGGGAAATCGGAGGGGTGGCTTTGAGGGGGCGGGTGGTTTGGGAGGTGGTCAGGTGAGTGATTCGATGCCGCGGGCAGGGCGGAGAGGTACACGACGACAACGTTCCAGAAACTACGTCCCAGAAACCCCAGCTGCCACAACTCCACTGCATCCCACGACCAGCGCACGATTCACAAATCGAACCCAGGCAGGAATGGAGCAACGCATGGCCAAGTAACAAAATCCTTGCAAGCCAGGGACACGCACTTTCCTGGCTGCAACCGGCGTCATTGGCAACCTTTCCCTTGTCCCCTTGACAATGTTTGTCCGCACGGGACAGGTCGCGCATCTCCCACGAATTTCTTGAGGGATGGCTGCACAGCCACACAAGATGCCTGCAACATCACTGCCAATTGAAAAGCATTTGCACACACTCCACGCTACTATTGGGTGGCACATCACTATGTAAGAATGATTGTTGGAAACCACAGCACATGCAACAAGGATGTAAACTCACCAACTGTGGACCTTCAAGCATTTGTAACAACAGTTGCACAACTGCAGTCTACCTTCTGCCCTCACTGACATCTAGCGATCCCCAAGAGTTTTCACAACAGGCTGCCATGAATGGCAAGCGACACCAAGAAGTCTTCATGGATCACTGTGATCAACCACATGAACTTGCCTAATGAACTGCACATCTGGCATCTTGCCACCTCATTGACTTCCCTCCAAGTTCCTGCAACATGCATGCAGGACTCCAACAACAAATGCTGCTGCTGCTGGCCAGTTTGAGCAGTAGCACCTTGCGGCTGGTGGGGAGTAAGAACAAAACAGCTGCCGTTCATTACTTGCCCACACTGTGATAGGACTTGCTGTCAGGACAGCAGGCACGACCACAAAGGCTGTTGCCCATTTACACCTGAAAGCTGTGCATGCACAACAGCCCTTGTCAACAACATCACAACAGATCCCTGCTGTAGTTGGCGTATGTTGCTTTTCTCGCTGGCTCAAAAAGATTGCGCTTCTGTGCTATTGCCTTACATTTTGGGCCCAGACAATGAATGTCTGGTCTGCTGCAGACTGTTGAAAGACCTGCTCGTCTGTAGGTGCTATGAATGCAGCAGCTTTCCCTTTGTACACAGGGCTTTGTTCAACACCAGACTAGACAGGCACCAGGTGGTGCAGGCAGCTGCCGCTTGTCTATGCGCTGGTGAGCGCACTAAATATGTGCAATGCTAGTTTGTTGCCACCTTGAAGGGGACATTGAAGCACCCCTGCGTTTTCCAGGTCCCTTGATCAAGTCTGCCAGAATTTGAAGAATTCAATGAAGAAACTTGACAAGGCCTGGAGGATGACAAAAAAGGTATTGGCAGTCTTCAGCGCTCAACTGTGGGTGGTCCTTAGTGAGAGGTTCTGTCCATGCCAACTAGCTTGTGCAGGCTCTTGTGCTATGGCACTGGACCATTGTGCTGCAACTGTTTCTCCACGAGCTCCACTTAGTTATTAGTGTTCCAGGCTAGCCAGGTTCGGCAGTGCCACATCCAAGAGGAGCCCATGCCTGAGAACTGAATACCTATAAAATTCACCGAGTGTTGTGGGAATGATAGCCGTTTTGTTGATTTTTCTTCCAACAGCCAGATGCAGCCCAGCCCAAATTAGCACAAGTTTGGTGTGCACTCAAAGGAATGAGTTGGCAGAAGAGAATGCCTGTCTGTTGCCATGCTTACACGAGCTGGAGAGGCACACATCGCGCCTTGTGATGTCAGAAGAACACTGCAGCAGGTCTGACAACATCACAAAGATTTATGAAATGTCCATGTGTTTGCATGCTGCGATCACTGTGAATTGTTAATTGGGGTCTGTGTGCCATTCTCAGAGTCGCCCTGGTGCCAGCTTTGAAGACTGCCATGATTTGGTGCAGCACTCTCAGCGCATATTTGCAGGCCTTAGGGCGGTGCATGCTGTAAGCGGCACTGGCGTTGGACGGAGCCAGAACCTGAGCCCTGCAAAGGAAGTGATGCGGGCTGCAAAGAACTACCGGCACATCCTCTTCTCATCAACACAGAAGAAGGAACTCGAAAATTGGATTCAGAAGGACCATTGTCTGGAGCCTGGGGACAAGGGGTCTGAAAGGAAGCAAGGTGACCATGGCCATGACAGGAAGGAGAGGGACAGAGGAAAGGGCAAGAGTGGGGAAGGGGCAAAGGTAAGGCAAGGGTTGCTGTGGGCCCAGTAGATCGAATCTTTGAACCCCTCTTAAGTCCGACCTAGCAGTGTTGTAGCTGACCCTGTTGATGTCATTTGATGAAGATCGCGGGACAGGGCAGGGTACGGGCATCCTTCATAAACCTCATGGTCAATACAATAATTCCCAATGTGCATTGGGTTTACCAGGGGCATGTTGATACAACTGATATTGACTGCCAGGTTGATTGTCCCATGCTTGTACAGGATAGTGCAATGAATCACACGCCTCCACCCCCCCCTCCACCGTCTCCACCTATAGCAGTGGAGCACAAACGCCATGGAACCTCTCATTGCAGACCAGCAAGCGCCTCTTCTTTGTCAAAGAACTCATCGATGGTGCATTTCGACAATGGAAAGCTTCACCCTCTTGATGACAGTGCAGCCTGCACTAGCGATGTAGAAAAGGAAGTGCTACATGTCCGCCACAGACTGCAACTAGTCGACCTTGCATCACAAGAATTGTCAGCAGCAAAAGCTGCTGACCATAAAATCCACCTTGAGAGCTCGGGCAAGTGTCCATCGGCCACCAGACTCAACTGCTCACCTGGTGTTGAGCGCAGCAACAGCCATGACAATTCAGCAGCTGTCAGAAGTGGCAAGGTTGCTGCTCGACGTGCACAGTGCAGCACTGAACAGAACAGTCCACAGAGCAGGTCGGCTGCCAAGGGATCTGTGCAAGCAGTGGTTGATGAGGGCAAGAGGCACACAGAAGATCTGGCGACAGGGAAACGTGTGCGCACAGGTCAGGGTGTTGCTGCTCAGGCTTCAGGCAAAAGGAGGCGGCATCTGGACAGTGGGATGACAGCCCATGGCAGGAAACCAAGTCCACAATCCCAACAGAGTCAACTCAAACCTGATACCAGAAAGGCCTTGTCGAAGGGCCGCCATGGAGGTGGTGTGTCCCAAGGGCAGTGTCCTAGTGTGCTTGGCGATGCTTCCCTGAAAGATCTGGAGGAAATGGAGGAGCCTGTGACACCACCCAGTGCTGGGGACAACTGCACACCAGCGAAGGGATGCCTGCCAGAAGGGGACCCAGCGTTGAGCCGGCCAATGTCTCCAATGGTGGTGATGAGCGCGGGGCGCACTGAAGCTGCCAGGAACCCCTTGGTGCAAGGAAAACGGGATCAGGCTGTTGAGCTGCTCTGCCATGGGCATTCAGCTGGTGTGACACCCAGTTATGGGCTAGCAAAGGATGGGTCTGCTGCACACCCTGTCATCACGGGCCACACACTGGAGGGGCAGGGGCATGAGGGTGTTGAGGATGAGGAGGAGATGGAGGTGGAGCACTTCCTGCCAGAAGAAAAACTGTCATATGCGCCAGGGGGCCAGCTGGAGGCCAGTGGCCATGAGCAAAGGGGCCTTTCGGAGGGCTTGCCCTTTCAGCACGAGCAGTCAGAAACCGGTCCTTGTCCATTGCATGGCAGAGAGCTGGGTTCCCACTTGTCGCCAGCACCCTGGATATCCGGTGCACCTTCTGGTTGGGAAGATGCCGTCGATGGGCACGTCGAGTTTGGCCAGTTCAAGAGTGACAAGGAAAACAGCATGGTGCAGACTGCACAAAGGAAGGCGTCACCGGCTGCACTTGCAGATGTTGAGGCTCTGCTGAAGGACAACCGCCTATGCTTGGTTCTGGATTTAGACCACACACTCTTGAACTCGTGCAAGTTCTCTGAGGCCGATCCAGGCATTGAGGAAGTACTGAATGTGAAGATGACACAGGAAGAGCAGAGGACACCAGAGGACAAGCAGCTGTTCAAGTTGCTGAAGCTTGGAATGTGGACAAAACTGAGGCCAGGCCTGAGGCAGTTTCTCAACAGAGCAAAGGACAGCTTTGAGCTCTGGATACACACAAATGGGAACAGGTGCAGTAGTGTCTTCGGGACTTGTGTGCTCGCATCTTGGTTTTGCTCCAAGACTTGCTCACTGCTTTTCTGGACGATTGGTGTTGTAGAGCGTGCTTGAAGTCAGTGAGAGGAACTCGCTGGGGCTATGTGGGGAACACCATTTGCCTCCTACTGTTGGCACATGACACTACTAGAGTGCTTTGCCAGGCATGGCACAGCACATAAACTGTATGCAAGCTCCTTTGACAAGAGGCATCGACCACCCCAGTACTTTGCCCTGCGTTTGTTTTTGGAACAGTGCACCGTGGGTGCATGGTGCTGCCATTCTCAAACTTGGAAAACAGGTGCAAAAAGCTGAGAACGTGCCCTTGTGTATGCTTTTGATCTCAGAGTCCTTGGCATTATTGTGTTGTGCAGGACCTATGCCACTGCGATGCGAGCACTGATCGACCCAGATGGCCAGCTGTTTGGCGATCGAGTGATTGCCCAAGACAGCGGAGTGGGTGATGACAAGGTGGCGCAACCGAAGACGCTGAGGAATGGTCTTGAAGGCCGTGAGCCAATTGTTTTGATCCTGGATGACAGCACGTCAGTGTGGCCAAGCGAGGGTCAAAATTTGTTTTCTGTGGAGCGGTACCTCTTCTTTCCAAGCAGTCGTCGTCAGTTTGGGATGCCTGGACAATCGCTGCTGGAGATCAATCAGTGAGAAAACACCTTGGCTCTTGCACTTTGGGAATTTCTGGCTTTCTGGTTGCACTGCAATTCCAAAGTCATGGCGTCCATGGTGTTTGCACTCTGAATGGTGGGCAAAGGTGTTTGTCCCAGTCAGGCTGCGTTGGCTCAATCCACGCAACCTTTGCAACTGAACCCTGAAACCAGTGCCATCACATCACTCTGACATTGGCTTGTCCTGAGATTGCTGTTATCGGAGCTGGCAACATCAACATGTGCCACGTAGCTGGAGAATGCCACGATCTTTGTGATGTGTACATTGTGTTCATTAATATGGTGTGCTGTTGTCATGAACAGTGACGAAAGTGGAACTCAGGGCATGCTGATGACTGCCCTGGAGGTGCTGCTCAAGGTGCATGCGCGCTTCTTCAGAAGCTTGCAGGCTGCAGCCACTGTTCCAAAGGCTCCAGGAATGATGCTATCAGATGTTAGGCGAATCATGGATGAAGAGCGCAGCCTTGTTCTGGCAGGGGTCCACATCGTCTTCAGCCGAGTAATTCCGTTGGAGCAGCCACCAGAAACCCACCCTCTGTGGCGGCTGGCAGAGCAATTTGGGGCAACATGCAGCCCAACCTTCAATGCTCAGACCACCCACGTCATTGCTGTGGTTTCAGGAACAGAGAAGGTCGGAATTGCGTGCTCGTGATGCTTTGGCACTACGGTTTGTCTGATTGGGATGCTGCACCTCTTGATTTCGCAATCACCATCAAATTGCACTGTTTGACACCAGTAGCTATCCGCTATTTCTTGGATACGCAGTAGGCATTGATAATGTCCATGCCATGTCTCTTCTGCCAATGCTGCAGCACTGCTGGAGTGTGTATGCTTGGATTCACAGTGGATGTGCTGTTGAGCAGGTGCCTTGCCGCAAATGCAAGGAGTCTTGAGTATGCATAGAATGAGCAAGGAGCAGGGTTGTGGGTACTCAATTGCTGTTGTAGGTGGTGGCTGTGGGCTTTAATTGCCAGGATTGCTCTGTTTGCAGGTATTTTGGGCCAGGCAAAACAAACGTCACGTCGTAACGCCCAACTGGTAGGTCTGTGCGCCGAAGCTAACGCACCTTTTTGTGCGACAGCTCTGTTCCATTCTTACTGAAGTACTGGCCAGGCTTCAAGGAGTACACAGGCACCCACACGTATCCTGCACCCTTGTTGTGCTGTTGATGGCTGTTGATCTGGTTGAATATTTTGCAGATGCTCTTGCTCTTGCAGTCAGGCCCCTGTCTTGCAGCTTGTCATGAAGTGGGTGTGTTGTGAAGGCTGGAGTGTTCGTGCACGCTGTGGCGCCGAGCAACTGAAGAACGCTTTGCTGTACCATGATCTCCAGGGCCGTGTGGCCCCTCAAGGCCCACTTCTTGGAACTCTCCGGATTTCTGCACTTCGGATTATTACAGAAACTGAGCTCAACATTCGTAGGATGTTGCACTTGCCCACCATCTTCTAACGCGCATGTCAAAAAACAGCACTTCACAGTGTTGGAAGCGGAGCTTCCAACCCCGTTGTGACAGAGCCATCATTGTTTGAGTAGTCTGAACAGTAGTTAGGTGGGGAACAGTCCGGCCTTGAAACACGTGGTCGGCTGGATGTTTGGTTGCGGACGCGGCTGTACAGCCACGTAAGACAACGCAGTGTGGGCATATTTGTCTTCTGTTGTTGTTTTTGGTACATACTGCCAGTCAAGCTTCCGTGCCTGGCAGATGAGGTTGGGCAGAGCAGAAGACGCTGAGGAGGCAACCATGCAGGGCGTGTAGTCTCCGGTCAATCTCGGCGCACACAAGAGCTTTATTTTGTTTTCACGTGATCGGCTTTATGGGAAGCCACACAAAGGAAAACACAATAGCAAAGTCAAGGTTTCAGAGCCTGTGGTATACACTGCAGCTAAGGGAACGCACTATATCGATAGTGGTATGCCCAGCGTCGAGTCCATGGTAAGAGGGGAGGGGTCCAGATATGTGAGGCTAAGAATTGACGAAAGTGCCGAACAATCGATACAAGCTGAGAAGAGCCCCAACTGGTTCTCATCAGTGTCAAACAAGCCATGACACGTTCAAGAACCTCCCTGAAGCATTAAGCATTCAGAGGCCCCCAAGTGTCTCCATTGAATGCCTTAGCCGCCGCCCCACCCCCCCCACCCCCCCCCACCCCCTTGCGGCCTGCCATCCCATAATTTAGCCCTCCATAGTTGCAGCAGCGGTGCTTGCTGTTTAGCTTCCTTGAAAACATCTCGATGTTGTGTCCTGCCATGTGGCAGTGTTGTTCAGCTACCCTAGCATCGATATAAAGGTGGATGCTGCAATTTACAGGAGAGCTCCTTGCTTAGATCAGCATGTGATACATTGGAATTAAAAAAAGGGGTTGATGCTGGGGTGGGGTTTGGATGGGGGGCCGGCTGTGATTTGTCAACAAGAGAAGGAGAAACAGGTAACACAAAGGGCACCCCATCTCAAGCTAGTGAACGTCTGTGGCATACAGCGAATAGATGATATAGAGTCTCTGATGGAAGAAGAGGAGCACAGAGCACAAGCCCAGGGTTGTGTGCATGAGCTGTTCTTTCTTCTCAGCTCGGACATCCCTTGGAGCATTTGCCATTCCAAGTGTAGAGCACGCGCTTTCATGACTGGGACCAAACACAAGCATACCTCCAGCTGTTTGACGACGCTGTGCATACCATATTGATGTAGTGTGGTCCTTTCCTTGTTGCTGCCCTACATTCTGTTCATCGGCAACTGAGCTCCACCGCCTAAGCTCACATGGGTTATGACGGATGGTGCCATTCAACCCACCAGGCATGGCTATCATTTCATGCTCCGCCCAAACGTTTTGTGGCCTGGCAACCTGCTGGTGTGCGTTTGCACAACTGGAATCCAAAGCCAGCAGAGCGACGTGTATCAGCCACGCAGCCAACGCAACACACACTTTGCAGGTGTACAATTAGCTTGCCCATGTCTGCTCTGTGCGGTTGTTGCATTGGGTCCTGTATTACAGTTTTGCACAGTGCACTCATGACGGCGTCAACTGAGAATGGATATGCATGTGAATAAGCATGCAACGCCCATCAGTTGTTGTCAAACAAATAGACAACCACAGCCAAGCAACAACTACTGACATAATCAGGGCAAATGCACATTGGACACCACTTCACACCACCTCCGAGACAGCGTTACCTCTTGTCCATATTCCGGAGTGTGTTAAAACTTTTTTTGGGGGCGCCTGTTCACGTGGAGGCACTTAGAAGATTTGTGTGTTGAGCGCATGCAAACTATTGGTGCAGCACCAGAGAATTTGCAATTGCAGATGTGCAGCATTAAGTCCTGTTAAGTATTGTCTACTAAGAAATGACCCCAAGTCAGACCTGGTCCGAGCCTAGACAAGTTCATAACCACAACACTTCATTGATCCTGTGAGAGGGCTCTATTGTTCCTCACGTTTCGGACCACGCTATGCTGATTTGGGTACGCACCGTGTCAAATTGATGCAATGGCCCCCCAACCCCCAGCCACCGGCCACCTGCCACCAGCCACCACCGCCATCCATCCACCCACCCACCCCACCACCCCCTCTCACACACTGCCGCAGGCCATTCATAATCAACCAATTCATAACTATAGGACATCAAACATTGCCAAACGTGGCCATGCCGTCAGCCTGTTGTACGGCCACTAGAATGTAAAGGAAAAATATGTTCAGTGCACCATATACAACGCATACGGTAGATACGCATTGTCAGTCAACTAAATTCCCTCTTATGGATGTGTGTTGCCGACGATGAGAATGTCAAGCACAAAAGCCACAGTTGCGGAAAAACAAGGTCAGGCGCCACTGCCACAACGATGTCATTGAATTGATTACCCTGAACGGGAGCGCATAGCACACGTTTTCTACCTCCGAAATAACGATATACAAAGCATGTACCGTTGAAAATCGTGTAGCCTACCCGACCCGTGAATGGAATCAAGGCATGGGTCCTCGAATTTCCCGGATATGGTAACCATTTTCTGGTGATGTGGTGGAGATCATTATCGCTGCAACATCTGGCATATTGCCTGCAAGTCAGTCCGTCGCCTTGGCGACGGATCGCGTGTGTTTCACCACAGGATAACAGCAACACTCCTCGTCGACTTGCATCATTGCAATTCGACGTCTCCAAGAGCAACACCTCCTTCTTCACTGCATGGTTTGCTTTTCACGTGCGGCTGGCCACGAGTCAAACGCTGCCTCTGGTCCCCTGCCTCCCTGCGCCTGTGAGAGGAGACAACAACTAGGACAACTGCGAGCAACAATACCCCGCCGCCCAAAATGGTCCAAGCATTGGGGAATGTCGACACCCCCAGCGCCCATCCGAGTAGCGACCCAGCGACGGGCTCCATGGAAAGGGCCAGAGTCAAGGCCAATGGCGGCAAATACCTGCAGCACACGCAGCAACATCGGCCTTGCCACGTCTTTGTCCGAGCAGAGCGATGCAACAGAAACACCGATGCAATATAGCAACAGCAACCATGTGTGTATGCATCCATGCATACACTCACACCCATTTCCCCAGAACATTCTGGAGCTATTCTTGTGCGTGGACTATGACCACCATCGCCGCCAGACTGCAAGCGTTTTGTTTTGTCGAGGGCAGACAGCAGCTGTCAACAGTGATTTCAGCAGTGTACACGCGCAAGTTCATGAGGCAACCGCAGTTGGCCTGCTGGAAGTAGGAAGGCGCCGCAGAAAATTGTGCTGGAGATGTTCCGCACTGGTTGGGCAATGACCGTGCATGTTTCCATGTCCCAACATGATGCAACGCAGACGAGGACCGTGTCTGGACGTGGCACAAAATCAGTCGGTCGGTCTTTTCTGCGAAGATCCCTTTTTGTTTCGGACACCTGTTCGGGTCGCCAATTAATGGGGCTCATCAAAAAGTTAGTAAGATAATGATATCACGCAGCTGGCGACCCGTGAGGTCCATATATGGTGCAGAGGGGATGTCGACAGCCTCAACACCTTCGCCATACTGAAAATCATCCAGTAGGTCGGCGCTCAATGAGGCAGAAACCCCAAAACATCAATCAGGGGTGCTCTATACATACCCCAAGTACGCCCTGGAGTACTGAGGAACACCCAGGTTGCCATTGGACACGTGCGTTTGTTCAGGGGCAGCCCGCCTAGCGGCCAGCCGTGAATTGTGGCGAGACGGATCCAGGAGTGGCGCATTGAGGCGCCACATGGTTGTTTGATGGGAATATGCCCCGTGGGGCATTACATGGTTTCTGACCACGGGAAGTGTGGTTGTTTGGTGAGAATGTGGCCCTTGGGGCACACGTGGTGGCTGATTGTGGCCAGTGGGGCGTCCTGGGTTGAGTTGTGGTGAAGCGGCGGGCGTGTCAGAAAGATTCTGGGTATCAAAAGAGCATCTCTTAGGCATGGGTGGTACTTTTGCCAGAGGGGTGCGGACAGCACGAAGGGGAACTCTGAATTGTTGCACTCGGCCCGGCAGCTGTAAGAACGGTCGTCTGGCGTTCATGTGTGTCTCTCGCGGCAGCCCAGGCACTCAGCCTGGCTGCCTGACTCCCCTGGCCGTGTGCGCAACGTTCGCGACGGCCTGAGCGCAATAGCGCTCGACCTTTTCGAAGGTCGCGGCCAGTCTGTGCCTTTTCTGAGCCGCTTTCCTTGCCGCTCAAGACCAGCAGTGCCAGCGCGGTTTTGCTGCAGAAGTGAGCACCCTTCGTCGCGGCACAGCCTTGTCGAGGCGGGGAGAAGTGCTTCCCGTATCTTACGCCGACGTGCTGTGGACGAGGCAGCCCTGACCCGCGGACCCGACCTCCGTTTTGACTTCGTCGACCGTTGAGGAGCGGTTGCGACTGATTGCGGCGCTCAGAGCGGCAGCTGCGAGAGGTTCTACAAGCGCATTTGCATGGTTGGCTGGCAGTGGGGTGTTTTGCTACCCGTTTGAAGCTTGCCCTTGCTGTCGCCACTGCTATCTTGGGCCGTTGGCATCGTCGCGACAAGCAGTTCTTCGTCAAGAGCCGGTTCGTGCGAGGGGCAAAACTTGTTCGTTGAGTGCACCCTCAACTGATGTGGTGCTGAGGCTGTCGACATGTCTCAGCTGCCCGTTTGAGGGTTGTGTTACTGCGCTATCTCCGGGGACGACGGCCAGAATGGACCGCCGTTCTTTGCAACACCCCAACCCCAAAAACTACTGATCCACTGACCGGCGTTGGCCTTGTCAGCGGAAGAAGAAGTGATCGTCACGGAAGAGAAGGAGGGACTAAAATATTCTCTCCAGAACGCTGGTGGTGATTCGCCAATGATGCTGGCACTTGCACCAAGCGCTGTGCCGCTTTGGGGCTTCAAGTTCGAGAATTTCGATCGCTGTGTCCCCAAATTTCGCAGCATTTCCGCCTAAAGGCCCCCGAACGCATTTGCTGAACTGACTGTGCTCAATGGCTGCACGGGAGAGTATGTTTGTCCCTCCGTCTTTTCCTGGAGGATCCTTTCTGCCTTACCGGTCTCCTGAGCCCACCCCGTCATGTACCCCCATGACAATAATTACAAACAACCGTCAATAATCACATTCCCGAGGTTCCCGTCCATTAAACTTGCCCAGTCACTCTTCAGGAACTCGAGGCCCCTCCGGGGCAGAAGATGTGCCCAAACTGCTCATGCAGGTCGCGGGCGGTGATGGTCATCCAACCGAACAACCGAAAATCCCACTCAGTGGGTAAACGAAAAATATCTATGTACGACCACAACGAGTCTGACCGCCACCCACCCCAATCCCGAATACGCCGCTCCGCGACCTCCAAGGCGAAGCAGCTGGACGCGCCCCCACCGCGCAGGCCATGATGCGTGAAGGGCTCCTGGGCGAGGTCCGGAAAGTGCGCGAGAAGGGACGAGAACCAGGCGGCCACGGTCTTGGACGAAGGGGTGGCGTCGCCGGGAAGGCGGTAGAAATGGCGCGGCGGTTGATCCGTCTGCGCCCAGGCGTGATCGCGGAATTGCGTCTACCGGCGCAGCAGGGCGACGACTTCGGGGCGCCGCGAGAAGGCCATGAGCGGAAGCGCGACCGGGGCTCCTCCCCGGGGCGCAGCTTGGTCTTGCGCTCCTGGAAGACCACGACCTCCTCGTCGATGCGGACGTCGTCGACCAGAATGTAATGGCCCGACTGGGCCCGGTTGAAGAAAATGTAGGCAAGGTGGGCCGCGCACGCCGCCCGAAGGGTGGGCCCGTCCTCGGTGGTCAGGCCGACGTCCAAAATGCGGAGCATCAGAGAAATGGGGACCGGGCGGCGATGCTGCACCGGGGTCGGAGCCGCCCGTCGCCAAGCGTGGGTGAGGATGCGGGTGATCGGGTCGAAGGCGGAGAAGCCCAGATGACCCGCGATGTGGTGCATCATCGAAATGGCGGCCAGATACTAGGGGCGGCGTGGGACCCAGACGCCTAATCTTGCTCCTCCTCCCTCGCCATTAAAACGGATATTAAAGTGTATTTTGCCGGCGAGCCGCTGCGTCGCCGCCCGCGCGAAACACATGCACCCCCGGCCGTCCTCGCCAGAGCGCCCCGGAAACTCACCCCATTCTCGGGTCTTCGCATGCCGCGCCTTTCTCGCGTGGGTAGACATGGAACGCCCGTAGATTCCACCGCGGGGGGGGAAGAGACGCCGGGAGACTCGGGTCGCCGGGGAGAAAGAGGTTGGCTTGGCGGGGAATCAACATCTCCGCCCGAGCGATTGCTCGGAGCGGGCGAAACCAAACCGTGCTCGGCCAGTCCGGCGCGAGAACCACCGCCTCCAGCTCCGGGCGCAAGGCGAGGAAGGACACGAGCCTCGCGAGGAGGCTCCACGGGGGATTGCACCAGGACCGGGTGCCGCTCCAATCCTGCTGGAAGGCATCCACTCTTGCCGTACCGACGTCCCAGTACTGACTGTTGAACTAGGCGCAAAGGGCATTCCGGGCGGACGCGAATCGGTCCACAGAACAGGCTCCGAAGCTACGGGCAACCTCCCGGAATATGCGCGGATGCAGGCGGTAGTCCTCCGAGGTCCGTATACGGGAAAGCCGGTCCGGCAGTACATTCACGGCCGAAGGAATGTACTCCGGCTCCAGGAGAATCTGGCGCGCCGTACACACCGCCTTCAGCTGACGTAAAGGCCTCAAGAGACTGGTGGCCCTGGTAGTCATAGAAAGGAGACAGTGCAAAACCACTTGGTTGTCCACCAACAAACGAACCCGCCGGGAAGTCGTCCCGGAATACCGGTGAGGAAAGAAACTGAGCAGGGCCAAGTGTACGGCCTGCATTTCACGAACATTGATATGAATAAGCTCCCGATCAAAAAATCCCCATGCAAGCATGGGCTCCGCCTGTCCCAAAGGCTGAAACGTCGCCCCCCAACCCGTAAGACTTGCATCCGTTGCAAGCGTGCCCAGGAAGGGCAGCGAACCCGGGTGGAGAGCCCGACCGGCAAGCCGCAAAATGTTTGTCCATGCCAAAAGGTCCAGGCGGGCTTGGGGGGTCAAACGAAGGCGATCCCGCCACGATCGTTTTCCTCATAATAACCCATAAAGACTCATCAAGAAAAAGCGGGCCAGCGGAAAGGCCAAATACAACGAAATGGCAGACCCACAAAATTGAGTCAAATGTCGCGCCACTACCCCGCCCGATTGAAGGAGGGCACGAGCCTGGGAGGCAATAGCAGCGGCCTTATTCGGAGGCACCAGAAATTGGCACCGGGTAGTGTCAATGATCACACCCAAATGGGTCTTCCGTTGCACCGGATCCCACTGGCATTTGGGATGTTTGAACTCAATCCCAAGAGCCTGAAAAACTCGCTGTACCAAATGGGACCATTCCCGCAAACGAACCGGATCAGACATGGCCGCAATGAAATCATCCAAATACGCCAAAATCAATGCGGGCACCTCCCGCGAGTACTTTAGGTAGTACTGGAGAATGGAGTCATTACCCGCTAAGCAACCAAATCGAAAACGAGTACCAGCCAGTGTACATGCAGCGGGGGTCCTTAAAAAACGGACCACAACGAGCATGACATGAGTGAAATAAAAGGGGGCCAAGGAGAGGCCAAAAGGCAGCGCCCGACAGGCGAAAACTTCACCACCCATCCGAAAGAGCAAGAAATGCTCCTGATCGGCGCGCATCCGAACATGATGGTAGGCATTTTTGACGTCAAAGCCCATCAGAAAGTCGTTCTTTTTCAAAAGAAAACCGAAATCCCTCAAGCGCTCGTAGTGGAGACCGACCTTCTTGAGGTGGCGATTGATCCGCCGAAGGTCGATGACCAAACGGTACTTGGTCTGCCCGTTCTCCGCCGGCTTGGCCACCAAAAAGGCGCACGAAATCCGGGCGTTGGAAGAAGGCTCCGTCCGGATGATCACCCCCGTCCGAAGGTACTCGTCGCGCAGCTCCCGCCAAGCTTGCCATTCCGCCGGAGTCCTGAGTGGGTACCCGCCCTGATCGAAAGGGGGCGGAGGGCCCCTCGGGCCCCACTGGAGCGGCGCCCCCATATGGATCCATTGAAGCACACGGGAGGGGGCGCCGATGCGTCGCCAGGCCGCAAGACGGCCCTGGAGGCGGGCGTAGGGCGGGGCCTCTAGGTCGGCTTGGGAGGCGCAGACAGTGCGCCGGACGTCTTGGGTTTGGGGCGCTGATGCTGGGCGCCGGAGGAAGGACCGCCGGGGGGCGAGGCCGCGGGAGCTTGGCGATTGAGCTACGCTTGATGCTGAGCCGCCGCGGACTTCGTCGCCAACTTGAGCTGCTGATTGAGGACCTCCTTGTGGATGTGCTCGAGAGGCTCGTCGATCAAGGGGTCCCAGAACCGTCGATGCACAGCGCCCAATCGCACGTTGGTCTGGAGCGCTTTCCACAGCCCGTCGAGAGAGGTTCCCTTCTGCTCGCCGTGGACCTGTTGAAGACGGATCAGGCTCTGAAGGCGCGACGTGATGGTCACTTGGTCGTGGACGTACGGAAAAAGGGCCTCCCGGAACTCCAGCGGGAAGGCAGGGTGGGCCACGAAGTCGATCAGCGCGGCAGTGAGGTGGAACTGCCACGCGACGTAGGGAGCCCAGTTCTGGTACTCCTGGAAGTAACCGGAGTTGACGCCCAGGGCCTGCGCGAGCTGCCCGCCTTCGGAGGTGCGGCGGACGTCGAACCACTCGGGGAAGCGTACTCCCGGAGGTCGGACCACCGGGTTGGTCACCGCTTGCGGTAGGAGCCGGGGGTCGGACAGCCAGACTTCGTCAAGGGAAGCCGTAGGCGGACCGTCGTTGAACCGAACCGCTTGGTCGTGCAGCCACTGCTCGGCCGGAGAACGGTTCATAGAAAGGACTCGGCCATAGCCGAAGGGACAAGGCACTCGGTGCCTACGGGTTGTGCCAACGCAGTGGCACGAAGCGAAACAAGATAAGGAGGGGGACCGAGGGGCTGCCTAAATAGCCGCCCCCCGCCGCCCCGCCAAAGCCCGCCAAACTTGAGGGCGCCCTCGCGGGCGGCACCTCGGAATGCCGTACTTTGACTGACCCACGGTACTAGGGGTGGCCAGAAATCCCAAGGGACGGGGTTGAGTAAACCCCAGGTTCAAACTGCACCGTTTGAATCGCCGGTGCAGCCCACCCAACGTCGCCCTTGGCAGAAACCCATTAACAGGATAGTTAACTTCATTTCTTCTTCCGCTGACAAGGCCAACGTGGGTCAGGGGTTCAGTTTAGGGTTCAGGGTGTCGAAACTAGAAGGGGTCTTCACGGAAAAGACAGAGCACTGCACGGCCGCTGGCACCGCGTTTGCCGCCCGTCCAGGAGGCAACCAGGGGAGACGACCGCATCGGCGACTCTGTTCCCGAGCGGCGCGCCCCACGGGCCTGGTCGAAAGTGCAAAATGGCGACTGGGTCGCTCTCCGCTTGACCTCAATCGCACCGCAACCTCGACTGCCGCTTTTCGCCACAGAGGGCGCTGATCAGGGGCAGGCAACTCTGCTGCTGGCTCGCTCAGCCGCTGGTCCTGCCCTCGTCGCCACAACGGCAGGCACGCCCCGGAGAAATCGCGGCACAGCCGCTTTGCATCAGCCATTTTGGAGCCGCGCGGGGCCATGGGCCGCAACGTCGAGATCAAGGCGCGCCTGCCCGCCGACCGCGTCCGGGCCGTGCGCGAGCTGGCGCTGGAGCGATCCACCTCCCCTCCAGAGTCGCTGCGCCAGACGGACACCTTCTACAACGTTCCCACGGCCTGGCGCGAGGTTGGCGGTACTCGAGCGATCGTTTACGTGACTGGCCGGGATCAAGCGGGGTCTTCTTAAGTAATCTCTCGTCTCGTAAGAGGTGCCCCGTCCCGGATCCTCGGTCGCTGAGCGAGGCCCTGGGCAGAAGCCTGGGTGTGCGCGGCGTTGTGGAAAAGCAGCGTGAGGTGATCATGGTGGGGCGCACGCGCGTGCACCTGGACGAGGTGGCGGGCCTGGGGACGTTCTTGGAGCTTGAGGTGCAGCTGGCGGAGGGGCAGAGTGCAGAGGAGGGGGAGGCCGTGGCCGCGGAGCTGATGGCGCACTTCGGCGTGGGGCGGGGTTGCCTGGTTGAGGGCGCGTACATCGACGCCATCGAGGCCAAGTCCGGGGAATGACGGTCAGATGCTACCGGAGGGTCGTGCGTTGATGGAGGGTCGGGTGAGGGAGGCGGGGGATCGCGCTTTGTTTTGGGGCCGCCATGGAGCGGTTTTGATGCTGTTTGGGGCCGTGTTTGGGGTTCAAGTTGCTGATGCCGTTCAATAGCTCGTGCAGTGATGCCTGGCTCGCAAGATTGGGATTGTTGCGTAATGATGGCCTGGGAATACAGATGGAGGGTAACAGCCAAGGAACCGCAACGACCTTTGTTTAATCCAGGAAATATGCTGTTTTGCCGCCAGTGGTGTACAACGGCGAAGCGAGCCAACGCAGTCCTGTGGTGATGGCGGTGCTGCTTCCGCACATTGACTTGATGCACACTGGCGATGACCATGGTCACAGAGGCCAAGGAGGCTCCAGGAGCAAAATGTCACTGTCACAGCGCTGCGGTACTTTCTGGGGTGTCTGAACTTGCACTACGCTAACAAAACAGCAACAACACAGCAATGCATCGAAAATCGACAGATCCAAATTTCGTTGTAAGCATACGGTCATCGTTCGTCTTTGGCAGATGGAATCTGTTGAGTTACTGCTTGAGACGTCATGAATATCATGGTATCCAGCAGCAAGCTGTGGATTTTTGAAAGGTACTGCACATCCAGCCATCAACTGTGTTGGTGTGAGGGCACCATACCTTAGCAGTGTGTTCAGCCCTGTGTGCCCCAATAGCCCTGGACCAAGAGCTAGGTATACCACATAGGGCAGGTGTTCCTTGGAAGCCAACCAGCCAAACACTCCGTGAGCCCCAGCCTGCGTCAAGCCACTGCCATCAATAGCCGGACATGACAGGGTGAGGAGAACTCCTGCAAAGGCCGTGACTGGCAGTGCGTAAATGTAAATGGGCATCCAAGATCTCACGTGGGCACCCAGCAGCAAGTATCCAGCTGCCATCGCCGCACTGACTAGGGATGCCAGGTCCCCCACAACGTGCACCTGGGAACACGGCCAAGGCCACGGCACTTTCGTCAGGAAAGCTGTCACATATCCCGAAGTGAGCAATGTGTACTTTCACTTCTGGATAATGAAACCATCAAGTTCTGCAGCAGAGGTTGCTGTTCTTTCATTGGCCTCGCTGAGAGACCAGATTTCCAACCCGTGGGGTGCTGGCTGGGGAAAGCATCCATTCTGTGCCAGGCTGCACCAGGATTTCCACCATGTGTATGTGCGGGGTGGCCTGCCCTTATGACTGGTTCACTTCACACTGATGTTAAATGAGCAACTGCTGAAACATGGCTCACAGCTCATCTGATAGACTGGCCTTGAGCCAGCTGCTGGTCTTACTCCAATAATGGCAACAGCACCTGCATGGTTGTTCGCACAACCCAGCACTGCAACGTTTGCCGCGCCTGCAGCAAAATCTTGCCATTGGCCCCATCTGTAAGAAACGACACAGATTCCAAGGACTCCAACATGACACACAGCTGAACTCAACAGTTGGTTTCCTCTCTTGGCAAACCCATTTGCTCACCTCACCCTGTTTCTTCGCCAATCCTCCAGATGCCAGCAGCCCCACGCCTGCCACTCCAACTGCCGTGCCAACAAGCTCCCAGCGTGATATTGGCCACCCCAATATCCACGTCCCTGCTGCGATCAAGATTGGGCTCACGGACACAAACAGCAGCCCGTGTGTGAGGGAGGTGTGTTGTAGGCCCCACACCCACAGAGCAAGTTGGGCACCAAGGAGGCAGCCACTCATCGCCAGCAGGTGGCTGACACCCCAAGTGCGTTGCCTTTCGCTGTCATCCAGGTGGCACCACTGGAAGATAAACCCATTAAAGAGAACGATGGAGGTCGCCTGCAGGCGCCACGCTGCAAGAGTCACTGGTGGCACATCTCCCATGTACTTGAACACCACTCCTGCAGAGGCCACAGCAACCACCTGCCAGGAGCCAACAAAGCATCCAACAGATTTACTTGCTGAACCCAATCGTCTTGGCTTTGTAATGGCTACTCCGACAACTGTACTCCATATAGCTCAGCGATTGGCTGGGTCCACTTGGGAACTTGATAAGACCTGATAGTAATCTGTGTTGTTCATATGATTGATACCCTGTCAGTAGAGTGTTCTGTGAGTCCAACAGTTTTTGGCGCACTGGGAACTTGGCAAAATGTGCAAACGGCAAGCCACAGGTTTTGCAACTGGCCTCCAGCAAAATGCCAACACGCTGCAACTGAACGTTCTTTTCAGTACGCAGACAGTTTTGGACTGTATCTTTGCACTCAACACACCAAAGCACAGTGGTCAATCCAATGCAGCTACAGGCAAACGATAGTGCACCAGCATCGACCTCTTCTGGCCGGCAGCGACCCCACAAACATGGTCTATTACAGCACAGAATAGTCTCTACAAAGAAGTATGCTTGTACACAAAGATGTTCCCCTTCACTTTTGCACTCAACAACTTACCTACAAATATTGTGTTGCATTCTTGGCAAGCATGGACAAAACTGCTTTTCAACAGTTCCCTTACAAACGCTGTACAAGATTCAAAAGGCAAATAAATGATCGCTGTGGCACAAACTGCGTGTTGGGGGAACAACTCCTGTTGAAGTTCCTGAAAACAAATCGTGCTTGAACTCTCAAAGAGATGGAGATTGATCACGCCCAGCTCGGCAACCATGATCCAGGGAGCATGACTGGGCATCGACATACTGGACCTTGCCAGGGGTCAAGCATGTGACATGAATAAACGAGATCGGAAGGCGCATGGCTTCGTGAGCGGTCCACAGGTGACACAGGTATTACACCAAAGGCACTCCCTTATGAATGGATGGCCTGCAGTTCCGTGGGCCATAGCACAGCATCCATATTGCAATGGGCTGTTGCGAAGGCGTGTGGATTGCAGGATTGACGTGGCCAGTTTAGAACAGTCTGTTGCGAATGCACAACTTGTCCTGTATCGCCTCTTTATCCCCGAGGATGACGTTTGACTGTCGATGAACGTTGCAAGTTACGGACTTGCGGGTGTCGGAACAATCCGTCGATACTCACCGCCCCAAACAATAGAGGCCATGCAAAAGCCGGCGTCCGCTGTTGCCTGCGGGAGTGCCGCTCGCCACTCCTTGGGCTGGCCAGCAAGCCACCTTCCTCGCAGTCGTCTTCGAGCTCAACAGCCTCGTTCGCCCCATCCCCAGAGGACATCCAAAGTTGCGGCTCGGAATGGAGGCGCGCCACCCTGCAGCAACGCTGGCGAACAGCAGATTGCCGCTGCGTGGGTCGCCCATTCCAAAAATAACCAACCCTCCAACCTTCCCCGCAGCTATCCGCGCCTTCACCACAGCTGCGGCAGCTGGCAAGGAACTACCGAGGAAATTGAACTGGGCCAATCCCTCCCCAGTAGTGAGCCACTACTAAGCACCATCACCATTTTACGACAGCCCGCCTTGCAACACTTTTCTTAACTCCAAAATAATCATCTACAACATCGCGTGTCCAAAGGACGCCTTCGTTGTGTCCGATGAGATGTGGACTGCTAGGTAATGAATAGACGTGGCCGCTCAGCTTTTTTTCTGTTATTTTCTGTCCGTATTTTTTTTCAAGACAAAAAATCCGTCCGTCACTTTTCTGTTGTTTTGCCGGGGCCGGTTTTCTGTTGCCGTTCATGCCACGTCAGCTTCCAGTTTTTTAGCTCTGGAGCTGTCCGTCAAGGGGGTCTTTGCAGCCACCAATTTCTGTAAAGATGTTTTTTTTCCGTTGCCTTTCCTGGCATTCCATTGCCATCCGTCATGGACTTTGAGATTCTGGAAGCTTGTCGCGAATAGAGGCGTATCGAATCGCTGCCAGTACTTGGCTGGAGGCAGCACACACACAGAACACATTATCATAGCGTACTATAAATCATAAGTGCTGGCCCTTCCCAGCAGCGATCGCTGCCGGTACTTGGCTGGAGGCAGCACACACACAGAACACATCATCCCGGCATACTATAAATCATAAGTGCAGGCCCTTCCCGGCAGCGATCGCTGCCAGTACTTGGCTGGAGGCAGCACACACACAGAACACATTATCACGGCGTACTATAAATCATAAGTGCTGGCCCTTCCCAGCAGCGATCGCTGCCGGTACTTGGCTGGAGGCAGCACACAGAGAACACATCATCCCGGCATACTATAAATCATAAGTGCGGGCCCTTCCCAGTAGCGATCGCTGCCGGTACTTGGCTGGAGGCAGCACACACACAGAACACATCATCACAGCATACTATAAATCATAAGTGCGGGCCCTTCCTGGCAGCGATTGCCATCGATTTTTATGGAATTCTGTCAACCTTTGTGGTCCGGTCAGCGGTTCTGTTGCGGGTGCCTATCATCCATAGACGGCGGCGCGAATTCTGTAACACTTGGTTTCATTCTGTAAGGCTGTGTGGATTTCTGTAGTTGTCTATGCTGACGTCAGTGTGGCCCTACCCGTTTCTGTAAAACGCTTTTTTTCTCTATGGCTCCCTCATAAATTCTGTTGATTGTACAGAATTTTAACGGAGCCAAACAAATTCTGTTGGGGACGGACAGATGGGGCCACCTCTAGTAATGAAACAATGCGAGGCAATGTAAAGTCTACAAGCTCCATCGCGTGAAATGCAAGAAAACTCTCAAAGGAAAGCAATTTGGTAACCCAAGGTTCCTCAGCATCCATGGCTCCAGTCAGTTGCAGTAGCCCAGATAGAGGAATCCCATTACAACTATTGCCTTGTGTTCAGACGATGCCTGCGCTAAGTTGATGAATAAATATGTACCTTTGCAGCAATTCAATGCATTATCAGCCCATTTTTCATGTGTATCCACAGTCCTTTCCAGGGTATATGCAGTCTCTTTGCCGAAAAAAACCCTTTTGGGGGGCGTTTACAATTCTTCGTAACCCATCGTCCTGCTGGAGATCTTAGTTTACAAATTTTAGGGTTCGAAGTAAATACTCACGGCGAAGGGGGCGCAAATGCACAAAAAAACTGGCTGTTCCACAGAACAGGCTGCGAATTGTTCGATTACAGTACATTCGGCTCAAGTAAATGACCACCACTGTAATCGAGAGAAAACCGTAGAGAAAGGAACGGCCAATGTGCTCAGAAGAAGCTACCTTGAACCGCATGACATACGGTTACATTTGGCGGTCCTGCAGCTGCTGAATGCTTAAGGCAAACGTGTGCACGCTCAGCTTCTCTCCAGTGCACATGAATCGATGCATTTACAGTTGAGGCATCCTCCATCTCGCTGTTCTGCATTGTCACTCATCAGAACCGTCCAGAATGAGCAACAATGACGTCAATTGAAGAGCACTCTACGGGCAGCACGGACGGCTGTGACTGGGCTGTGAACTGGTCAAGGAAAAGGGCGAAAACTAGTCAGCTGGATCCGCATGCTGACGGGATACAATACAGTTTGACGGTGATGGAATTTGGGTGTACAGAATTGGGTTTAGTATGCGATTCTGGTAGATTTTCCAGTACTATTAGCCGGGGACAAAGAGGCATGGTGTGTGTAGGGCGTATGGTGAGGGACCCTGAGTGAGAGGCTGGCCGGTTTGTAAGGGCCTTTTGAGTGACTTTCAGAGGGAAAAACGGCCAATTCCTGACCCTTTTGAGGAGACCATGAACCGTAGGGGGTGTCCTTGGATGGACCTGAACTATTGCAAAAGGTCCTAGGACCTTGACAGGACAGGTACTGGCAGGGTATAGGGGTCCAATGAGGCGTGATGGGACGTTGGGTGCGGCTGCTAACAGTACTTTGTGGTTTTGCACCCGTACGGGAGACCACCCTTTTGACATTTCGTGTAATGTACCGTATGTCGGACGTGACCGCGCCCTCCTGCATCTGGTCCCTGCGGGTTGCGCCTGCGCCCTGCCTACGCCCGCTGTGCCCGGTCTGCTCGGCGCGCCGCAACACCGTAATCGTCGGAAGCTCTTCGCCATGGCCGGCATTCCCACGTTACAGCGGTCAACGTCGCATTCGCGTATGACTCACCCATGCCCATGGCGAGCGCCGGGTGTTTCTCCTCCCGATATTTGTGATCCTGCACAGGACGGCCCGACGCCGCGTTGTACCGCGTTTGGTCGCAGAGGCTGGCTCGCCCAGAATGCCCCCACTTGTGGCTCCACGACTCGGTGGCGAGTAAGGCACCGGAATGGCCAGCTGTTTGCCGTCCAAGCCTATTGGGTTGCGGCGATCCTGTAGCGCGCAGTGGCGCCAAGAGGGGAAAAGAACCCCAGACCAGACTCCAAGACCCATTAAGTACTGCACCCATCTCTCGCAGTACACCGGCTGGCGACCGGCGGGTCACTCTGATCCCTGATGACTCATCCACTGCTGGATAGTCCTGTTACAGTGCCAAGTACTCCAGTACTGTGGCCTGCCTGATAATCCCAAGGATGGGATAGGTTAGAGATGCCGTTGCCAATCCAGGCACTCTCCTGGTAAAGTACTGGTGAAGTGATATACTATAAAGGCGGTGCGCATTACAGGCGTCCCCCGCTGGGGAAGACTCCGTCCCGGAGTCGAGAATACACAAAATAAACACGAAGACATATCACACGACACAAAGGCATGACATGTACAACACAACCCAACCATGGGTCCACTGGAAAGAAATGTGCGGTCATCCACAAGAGTCGGGTGCCTGATGCTGACATCTGATGGATCCCAATCATAGGGCCACAGAACTGGCGGTCACAGTCTGTCTGCATATCAACCCAAATCCCCAAACGAGGCCTGCATCAAGGTGCCGGACGAGGGGCGCCACGGCCACGGCCGCGACCACCACCTGAACCCGAACGGCCTGTAGTGCGAGGGGTCCACCCTGCAGCTACGTCTATATCCTGAACGCAAATGCACACTGTGTGTCAGCCTGAGAATACTCAAGTCGTCACTCGAGTCCTTTTCTGACCACCTCTGCGTCGGCGACCAATCGCAGGGCCGAATTCAGACGACTGCTGCTGCAGTTCGTAAGCCTGTAAGAGCTCATTGCAATGCGTCAGGTTCTGTAAAGGCTCCCATGTATTGTGCTCATGGTCAAAGCCTTTCCATTTAACAAGGTATTGTGGCATCTTCTTATGCCGGGAACGGAACTGACTAAGTCTTTTGTCGAGAATCCGTTCCACCTCGTATTCCAGCTCACCATCCAACTCCACTGGAGGAGGGGGACGAGTGAGACTTGGACCTGATTTGTATTGACTCAATACAGATACATGAAATACTGGATGGAGAGCTCGCATAGAATTGGGGAGCTCCAACTTGTAAGCCACGGGGTTGATCTGCTCAATGATCCGGAAGGGTCCCAACCACAAGGGAAGTAGCTTCCTAGATCCCAGATGCCTGAGTTTTATATTTTTGCTGGAGAGCAACACCATGTCTCCAACCTGATATGCAACATCGGACCTGCGCGCATCTGCATACTGTTTTTGTCTGTTCTGCGCCACCTGGAGGTGTTGCTTTGCATCATTGAGCACAATGTCAATCTCATTTACAAATTGCTTGACCGCTGGCAATTTGTCCTGAAGGTCCGTCTGCTGCTCATCCCTGAGTCTGTATCGTATCTCACAATGTTCCCGACTATTCTGCAGGCCTAAGGTTGTTGGAGTCACTGGATGTTGCCCATAGTTTAGATAAAAGGGCGTATACTTTGTGCTCCCCTGCTTTGAGTTGTTTATAGCAAACTCTACCAATGGGAGATGTAAATCCCACTGGTCTTGCTGTGGGCCAACACAGTGGCGTAGCGTATCTTCTAGAATCCTGTTCATCCGCTCTATTTGACCACCAGTTTGCGGATGGTACGCTGTACTCAGTGCCTGGTCGATCTCCAATTGCTCCATAAGGGCTTTGAAGAACTTTGATGTAAACTGTGTTCCGCGGTCTGATATTAGTGTCTCACACATACCATGGTGTCTAAACACATGGTCTACAAATAGTCTAGCGGTCCCCACCGCATCGACGTCTGATGTTGTGGGGGCCATTCTTACCATCTTGGTAAGCCTATCTACAAAAACACAGATAGCGTCGTGGCCGCTTCTGGTCCTGGGTAACTGAGTGATGAAGTCTACTGAAACATTTTCCCACCGTGCATTCGGAATAGGAAGGGGTCTCAGCAAACCCTGAGGTCTCTCTGCACGATGCTTATTCCGTTGGCAAACATCGCAAGCCTGTATGTACTTTTTG